GCGGAAATAAGCGTTCGTGGCGGAGGGGGCACTGGGCGGGGCTCCCGCTGGGGCGCTGGGGACGCGGGGGGGCTCGGGGCAGAGAGCCACGGCGCGGGGGTCCCACTCTGGCGCTGGGGACGAGGGGGGGGTGCGACGCGGAATAAAGTGGTCGGAGCTTCAAACACCCTGTGCAAGAGAATAAAAGCGCAGCCTTTTTACGGCCTGCGTCGAGGTCGAAGGTGCCCCCAATAGGGGGCGCCAATTTCAGCCGCCACTCCGCCACGGCCCCCTAGGGACCCCAGAGACGAATCAAAAGAATCCCAAGACGCCCCAGAGAAGACCCGAAGTCTGCCGGGTAGGGCCACAATCGTTAGGTCGGGCATGTCCCCGTACAGGCAGAAACTGGAGGAAAACTTAATAATCTTCAAAAAATGCCCCGGACTATGTTTGACGAGTTGTATAGAATTCCTCATGTAGGGGGACACGCCCGACTCAACACAAGCGGTCCCCAAAGACTGTTCCCGAAGCCTGCCCGTCGAGCTCTCAAGACGCGCGCTCGAGCGGCGAGGCCCGCCACCAACGCTCCCGAAAGGCCACGCAGACGGCGCCATAGCCTCCAGTCGGGCGCGTCTCTCTGCAGGCGGATCTTGGACGACAGATCAAAAACAGCCAAAACAAATAAGGAAAATGGCGATCACGATGCACATAAAATAATAATAATAATAATGATAATAATAATAATAATAATGATGATGATGGTGCTACGAATAATAACAATAATAGTAATAATACGAATAATAATAACAATAATTCGCATCATCACCATAATCATAATGATAATAATCATAATAATACTAATAATAATAATAATACTAATACTTATGATAGTAATATTCGGAAGGAAGAAGAGTAGTAATAACAATAATAATAATACTCATAATAGTAATGACAATACTGATACGAAATATGATAGTGAAAATGATGATACTGAAAACTACTGATGTAATATTAATACTGATAATAATGGTGTAGTAAGAAAAGAATAAGAATAATAATAAGAAGAATAAGAAGAATAAGAAGAAGAACAACTATAATATAACTAAAACTAAATTCGTCCACAAGCCATTGTTTATCATTTTGAACATCCCCCCTGTGGGGCCCGCACAGATGGCCGGGGAGGAGTCTCCGAAAGGCCACCAAGAGACGCCCCACACGTCAAGAGACCCACTGAGCCGCCGCCCCCCCAATCCTCCCCGTCCCCCTCCCCCTCCTCCTCTTCCCTCCTCCTCCTCCTCCTCCTCCTCCTCTCCTCCTCCTCCTCCTCCTCCTCCCCTCCTCCCTCCTCCTCCTCCTCCTCCTCCTCTCCTTCCTTCCTCCTCCTCCTCCTCCTCCTCCTCCTCCTCCTCCTCCTCCTTCTCCTCCTCCTCCTCCTCCCCCTCCTCCTCCAGCTGCGCGCGCGAGTCTGCCGCGCGCCCCGGCGCACGTTGATCGGGAGCCGGCAGAACCCTCCGCCGCCCCCCAAGGAATGTGGACGGCTCACGCGGGGGTGGCCGGCAGTCTCAGACGGCGGCCACTCCCAGGGGGGAGGGGTCTGCCAGCCAGGGCCTCTGGAGAGCATACCCGGGACCGCCACGGCGACCAAGAGGATGGTGCCGGCGCTGGCGTCGTCCCCCGCCGTCTCCGGCCCGCGTCGGGCCTGGCAGCGCCCGCGCCCCGCGCTCCCGGGCGTCGAGCAGCGCCGCGCTGTCCAGCCCCGCCGCTGCGTCGCCGCCCCGGCCGCCGCGCCAGCCTGCAGCCGCCCCGCCAACTCCTCCAGCTTGCAGCGGCGCCGCCGGCTAGCGCCGCCTCCCGCGACAGCCGCGCCAAGCCTGCAGTCCGGTCGCCAAACCCTGGCCCAGCGCCGGCCGCCTTGGGCCTCGCCGCGGCGGCGTCGCCAAGCGTTCGTGCAGCATTCGCGGCCGGCCAGAGTGCCAGCCCTGCTCGCCGGCCGCGGCCGGCAGCGGCGCGGCGCCCGCGGCCCAGCCAGCGCGGCCCGCTCGGCGCTTCTGGCTCAGTTAGAGCGTCAGCAGCTCAGCCACCTCCGGGGTTCACGCGCCTGGCGCTGGCGGCCCAGCCCTGCGCCTGCGTCGCCGCCAGCACCGCGTCGGCGGCCTGGCGTTCGAGGACGCACCCGAGCGACTGGTGGAGTCGCCGGATGGCCGCCGAGCGTTCTGTGTCCTCCTCCTCCTCCTCCTCCTCCTCCTCCTCCTCCTCCTCCTCCTCCTCCTCCTCCTCCTCCTCCTCCTCCTCCTCCTCTCCTCCTCCTCCTCCTCTCCTCCTCCTCCTCCTCTCCTCCTCCTCCTCCTCCTCCTCCCCTCCTCCTCCTCCTCCTCCTTCCTCCTCCTCCTCCTCCTCCTCCTCCTCCTCCTCCTCCTCCTCCTCCTCCTCCCTCCTCCCTCCTCCTCTCCTCCCCACCCTCCGCTGCCCCCTCCCGTGCCCCTCCCCCCCTGCCTCCCGATTCCCACGGCGAGGCCCCTCCTCGTCCCGCCACTGGGCACGTCAGTGGTTTCACCTGAGACCTCCTCGTCGTTTAGAAAATGAGGCGTCCCACGGAAAGACCCCTCCCCAACTGGTGCCTTATATTATGACCGGAGCTTCTCCCGCTTATCCGGCACGCGGGTCATCGTCCACCCCTCCTCCCGCCTGCTCCTCCTCCTCCTCGGAGGAGGGATGGAGGAGGAGGAGGAGGAGGAGGAGGAGGAGGAGGAGGAGGAGGAGAGGAGGGAGGAGGGAGGAGGAGGAGGAGGAGGGGAGGAGGAGGAGAGGAGGAGGAGAGGAGGAGGAGGAGGAGGAGTGAGGGAGAGGAGGAGGAGGAGGAGGAGGAGGAGGAGGAGGAGGGAGGGAGGGAGGGAGGGAGGGAGGGAGGGAGAGAGGAAGGGCTCCTGGCCGGAGTCCAAGCAGGAGCACCTTGCACGGCTCCCGACTGGACCAGACGAAACCAGACCACGCGGGGGCCGACCGCATCATCTGACCTGCCCACAGGGGGGGACCAGACCATCAGAGAGACTAGGCGAAGTACTGGCCAGGCCATACCAATGGAAGATGAGTAAAGAGGAGGAGAAATTCCGTTTTCCACTCACACACACAAACAAAAAAGAGGAGGAGAAATTGCATACACTCTGGTAGCCTCATCCTCCTCCCTCCCTCCCGTCGCCTCGTCCTGCGCTTCCTCCCCGCCCCGCTTCTTTGTCGTCCTCCCCCTCGCACATACGACGGCTCATTGTGCGACGCATCCATCCCAGCTCAACTTCCCCATCCCCACAAGCCATCATCTCTCACCCCTCCTTCCTCCTCCATCATGAACCTTATCTCCTCTTCCCCTCCTCAAACTCCCATTCATACGTTGCCTCCTGTGTAGAAGTTGGACCCCTCATCCCGCAGCATCCCTCCTGCTGCGGCTCTTCCTCGTGGCGAAAGGCCTCACAGCTTGTCGCGGAGGCCTCACGCCAAGTGTGATTAAGGAGGAGCAGCAGCAGCGGAAAGCAGCACGAGTCGGAGGACCTGAAAGGGTAGAGTTGGAGGATACGCCTCCCACCTAGCCCCCCAAAAAGGAAGAAACGGAGAACTGCGGCACTGGGTAGAACACCAGGGTGAGCGGGGTATGTAGGCACATCCGTCTGGTCTCTGACGGAATACCGTCTTCATCTTCATCTTCATGAACGCCGTCGTCGTTGTCGTCGTCCCCGTCGTCGTCGGCGGCGCCATCATCGTCGTCACCATCTCCCGTCGTCATCACCAGCAAAGCAGCACGGTCGCAACCACCATCAACAGCAAGCCTGAGGATTTTCAGACTCTTGTCTTTCAATTTGGCACGTCCCACAATCAACATAAATCACTTAGGGGCCTCGGAACAGAGAGAACGTGGAGGGAGGGTGTATTGCAACATCGTTGGCGCGTCTTGGGTCGACACTGGTCCGCTTCCTCCTCCGCCTCCTCCTCCTCCTCCTCCTCCTCCTGCTGCTTGCCTGCCGTCCCGCCGTCGACATCATGGTCCTCGCCGACGTCTGCTGGTGTCCCGTCCTCGCAATCGCCAGCCCCGACTGTCCCGAGCCCGGGACGGCGCACCCTCGCGGCTCCTCGCTCGCCCTGCACAGGAGAACCAGGGACGCCTGGCGCCGCGCAACCTCGTCGTCATCCTGCTACTGCCACTCCTGGCGTCCTCGTCCTGGTCCAGCACATCCTCCTCCTCATCCCCCTTTTCCTCGTTGTCCTCCTCCTCCGGCTCCTCGTCTTCCGTCGACTCCTCATACAGCTCGTTCTGCTCCCTCTCCTCCTCCTCCTCCTCCTCCTCCTCCTCCTTCTGTTACCCTTGCCCTCATCTTCCTCCTGCACCACATGGTCATATCATCCTCTTCCTCATCCTCATCCTCGCCATCCCCAGCAGCAACAGCATCAGCATCACCCTCATCATGACCATCAGCATCACCGTGATCCTGTGAATCATCCATCTCCTCCGTTTCCTCCGCCTTCCCCCCTGGCCTCCAACTTTGTGGCGCAACAATTGGGATCTTGGGACCTCTTACGGAAGCGAAGATGTATGATTCTTTGTTCAAAATGGTGTTCTCGTTTGAATGGCAGGCTCCCCGTTGTGACAACAAAAACATTACAATCGCAGAAACTTCTTCGGAGGAGACTTGAGACTGAAGGGCGTCTGTAAATTGCATCACCTTCAAAGCATCATGGGCTTACGCTGGCCTTCCTCCTCCTCCTCCTCCTTCTCATCCTCCCCGCCCTCCTCACACTTCACCTCCTTCTCGTTACGCCTGTCCTCCTGAGCCTCCTTGTCCTCCACCCCTGCCTTCTCTTCCTCGCTCCCACTGTCGCTTTGCTCTGCTCGCCCTGCCCATGCTCCTGGAGCCAATAATTCGACGGCCGCGCGGCATCGGCTTCCGCGGTAAAACCACTCGAGGCGTGGCAGCAAGCAGAGCAAGCGAAAGGGTCGTGAAGAAGACTGAGAACGGAACTCTGGGCTGACTACGTTACGCCGCGCCGTGCAGCGGGAGCACCAACTCCGTGTCAAATACAAGCGGCGGACCCGTTGCACCTGCAGGCTTCATGTGGCCCACCCACTCCTCCTTGTGCAGGGCCGAGTGCAAGTAGGCCTTGAGCGAGGACATGTCGTCTGCGATCACCTGCAAGCAGTGGGTGTATCCGCTCGCCTTGTCAGGCCACTCCAGTGCAGCCAGGGTCTCCCCGAAGGACAACCCGGGAGCGCCCGCAGGGCGGAACGAGGCCACGATGCCCGCCATATCGTTGAACCTGCCCACGGTCTCCTGCATGCGCCCGTAGACTTCCACGGGGAGCTCCGGAAGCTTGAACAGCACGACGTGCTGTATCTTGCCGGCCGTGGCGGACAGCGCCAGCTCGGAGTCGAAGACCAAAGGCGGGCCCCGCGCCCCAGCTGGCATCATGTGAGCGACCCACTCCTCCTCTGCGCAGAAGGCACCTGCAAACCACCACAACCATGCCTGGCACGGTGCATACGCCGCCCTGGCCCTCGGCAGGAAGGGCCACATACAAAAACACACACACACACACCACCCCAGGGCCCAGGATGGCCCTGGCCAGGCACGATGGTGGTGCACAGGTGCCTCGTGCGTATCCTTGTGCAACGGTGAGTGCAGGTAGGCCTTCAGCGAGGGTACGTCGTCGGCGACCAGGTTCATGCAGTGCGTGTAGCCCTCGGTCTTGTCCGGCCACTCCAACCCTGACAGCGTGCCGGCCAGGGAGAGGCCTGGCGCCCCCGCCGGCCTGAAGGACACTCTGATGCCCTCCAGGCAGCCCAGCCTGGCGATCGTCTCCTGCATCTGGGCGTAGACGTCCTCGGGAACGTCGGGCATCCTGAAGAGCACGGTGTGCAGTATCCTCGTATTCTTCTTCTTCTCGCCGGCCCGGACCTCCGCGTGGGTCCTCAGGACCACGTCGCAGGCCACCGGGAGGTGGTCGCTGCCCCAGCGCATCACCGCCTGATCCGCCACTGTGCCCCCCGGCACGCTGAGGCGTGGCAGGCTGCCAAGTGCTGCCCAGTGGGGGCTCCGTACTGTAAGTATTCTAAGGGGCCCCCCATCCTCCGAACCACACCCCAGAGCATGCATCCCCCCTCCGAAGGCTCCCTTGGCGGCCCGACACTTCCCTCGGGGCCTCCAAAAGTCTGCAAGGCTGCCAAGACGGCCCTTGAAGACCACCAAGGCCACCAAGATGACCCAATTGCCTCAAGAGACACCCATCAGCTAAAAAAAAAAAAAAAAAAAAAACAGACGCATAATGGGCCCCAAGAGGCGTCCAAGATACCGACGAGAGGGCGAAGAGACCATCTTGAAAGTATCGAAGCTTCCCAAAACAGTGCTTGCACTTACGGGTTCTTGATTGCGTCACTGAGGAATTGGGGGGCTCCAGCGAAGTTTCGCCAAATTGTCGCCCGTGGCCAGCTCGTGGCCGCCTCGTGCGCTGGGTGGGTCTGGCGAGGCTTCGCCAAGTTGCCGCCAGTGGCCGCCTGGTGACCGCTTCTTGCGCTGGGTGGGTCTGGCGAGGTTTTCTCAAGTTGCCGCCAGTGGCCGCCTCGTGGCCGCCTCGTTCGCTGAGTGGGTCCGGCGAAATTTCGCCGCGCTGCCGTCGGTGGCCGCCTCAAGCCGCCTCGTGCGCTGGGTGGCTCCCGTGTTTCGCCACACTGCCGCCCGTGGCTGCCTCGTGGCCGCCTCGTGCGCTTGGTGTGTCTGGCGATGCTTCGCCACGTTGCCGCCCCTTGCCGTCTCGTGGCTGCACCGTGCGTCCACTGCATACCTTACATCACATAGGGCCTCCTCTCAAAAGAAGAATCATCTCTACCAACGTCTCCCCCAGGGGTATTGGTCCCCCCGGGGACATTACGACTTCCATGGCCCCATCGTTCATCTTTCAGCTGAACTACTACCATTCAAGCTAGGCCGGTTATCGTCCCCCCTACTCATTCCTGTCAAATACGACTATGTTCGTGTATTCGTCTATCGCAAAAGATCGAGTGTCAAAAGCCCACTGCAAGACGAAAAAACTAAACAAAAAAAGCACGCGCGCGCACGCGTCGAAGCCATACTAAACACACCGTTGCCGCACACATCTCAACATAAAAAACATCGAATGCCGCAAGTTTTCTCGTGACACATATTGCAGACTCTCTGCCTGCGCGAATTTGCTGAAATCAACGGGAAAGCCACGTGATTGAACAATCTCTAACAGCCCCCGCATTCTACGCAGTGCATCCGGGGGCAATCCAGCACGCGCCCAGTGCACGAATCCGTATCATCAAATGATATGATGTGGGCCACACGCGCGCGCGCCACTCGCGCGTCCACCTTCCGAAACCATCGGTGTTCGAAACATCCCGAGAACTTTTCACAACCATGTCAAATCCACTTCGAAAGAATGTCTTGCGCTTCCGCGCGCTTGCACACTTCCTCCCCACTTCCTCACCACCACCCTCACCAACGCCATCGCGTCACAGCCGTTATTGTCATCGCCAGTCGCCGCCAGTGCCTCCATTATCCTCAAATCACCATTCTCACCGGCGCATAGAAATCATCATCGTCATCGTCGTCACCGGCATCGGTACCGTCATTGGCCTTGCCGTCGCCATCGTCATCATCGCCACCACCATCGCTACTATCATCATCGTTGCCGCCGTTGCCGGCGTCCTCATGATACATCGCCCGCACCGACCCGTACTGAAGTGACCGCGCGCCCGCGCGGCTTATGTGACGCGTAGGAAAATTCCCAATGATAAGCGCCATCGCGGCTGCGTCGGTTGTACTCAACCAGCTGACCGCGCTGCTCGCGGGCTCGCACGCGCTAGCGCAGCCGCAGAGATGCGCCAGCCAGTGCTAAGTAGTCACCGCAATCGTGGCCGCATGGGTTTTGCCAAACAAGTTGCGGGTGGGAGGGTGGCCTGATTAAGCGAGCAGTGGAGTTGACGACGTCAAGTTCTGCAAGGTGGATGTCACCACATAGCTTCCACCTCGTAGCTCATACCAAAGAGCACCACGTGAATTATACCACATGGCTCATAGATTAAAGGTCACACAACATCTATTGCCCCACATAGCTTACACACCATAGCTCACATCACATATATTGTACTTCCTCTTTTGCACTACGTAGATTACACAACGTAGCTGACACCACATAGTCCACACCACGTATATTGCACCGCATAGCGTAGGCCGCACCACATCTTTTACATCACATTGCCAAAACCACCTATACACCACGTGGCTTACACCGCATAGCTCACGCCGCATTTAGTGCAACACCTATATTGCGCCACATAACTTGCACCTCGCGGCTCACACTACAGATCATACGCAACATACCACTGCTCGGGGTCCACGCTGGCAAACATGTTGAAACCCTATGGAAATACTGAGTTGGATACTAGAGGGCCCCAGATCATCACAGGGGGGGGGTGATAAAGTTCGGGGCCGCGGGGGGATCATCAAAAACTGTCTCGGCAGGGTCAGCCTCAAGAATGTTGAGGAGGGGGCTGAGGGCGTTCCCCCCCCCTCTTCCTCCTCCTCCTCCTCGTCCTCCTCCTCCTCCTCCCTCTCTTCGTCCTTCCCCTTGTGCTTCGTAGCTCGTTTTGCTCGGGCGCACTTTGGTGGCGGTTTATGCAGCTCGAGCGGCCTTCGCCGCGAGGGAGGGGGAGGAGGAAAAAAGTCAACGCTAGAATATGATCAGATTCCTCTTGTAAAAAGAATCCAGTTGGGGAGGTGTTCAACTCGACGTGTAGGGGAGTCCATGGGGGTGATGTTCGGGGATGCTGAACACCCGGGATCAAAAAAGTTCTGGGCGAGGGGAGGGGGAGTGGGGGGGGGGGAGGGGGGGAGGAAGGAGCGCCAGGAGGAGGCACACGAATGGGGAGGGGCAGGAGGAGGGGAAGCGGCAGCTTGGGACCACGAAGCGTGTGCGGGGTGTGCCACGGTGGGGGTCAACGAGAACACCGAAACCTGAGAAGTGTATGGCACAACGATACCCTACTCGCTCGCTAAGCTGATGCTGATCACGAGATGAGGACGATAACGAATGCTGACGGTGATTGGAATGGTTTTGCGATGTTAGTCAGTGTCAATGATATCAATGTCATGACTGAAATGATATCAATGTAAAACATCCGCTCTGCGATTCGAGCTCTCCCCCCCAAAATACAACAGTTCGGCCCCGGCGCCCCCCACCGAATTTGAAAAAGATGTAGCCCCGGAGATCATCAACACTAGAGTTAGGTCGGGCATGTCCTCCTACAGGCAGGTTTTCGAAGAAAACAACAAAGAGTCAAAGACTCGAAAATAATGCACAAAAAATCGGGAAATCATCCCCAGACCATTGTTTCACTATTTTTGAATACTCCTCTTGGAGGGGGACACGCCCGACTTGACACTAGAGGGTTGAGGGGGGGGGATGCTTCATTATGCAGGGCAGGTGGTTATGTTGATGCTCCAGGCCCTCTCTGCTGAAGATGACTTCAAGAGGGCCTCGGAGGGGCCAGAGAGAGGCCGAACGAGCCCACCGAGGGCCCCAAGAAGCTGAACGAAAGGGCCCACATTACAGCCCCTGAGAAGGGCCCCAAGATGGCCCAAGAGGGACCCGCAACAGCCCAAAGTGGATCGCTAATGGACGAAGTGGGCCCGAAGAAACCCCCAGATACTCCCCAGATGGCCGAGAGGGCCCAAGACGACTCAAGATGGCCCAAGACGGCACCAAGACGGCACCAAGACGGCCCAAGAGGGTCCCACGAGGGCCACAAGACGGCCCCACGACAGCCCAAGACAGCCCCAGGCGGCCCAGGCAGGCCTCATGAGAGCCCCATCGACGAATGGAGACGAGACGTGCCACGCATTGCGGCCGTCTGGGCGGTGCTCAAAGCGTTGCCACACAGCGCTCTGCGCACGGCAGCGGAATGTGCCGCAGGCGGCCGGATAGATGCCGTAGTCCGCGTCGGCGGCCGCCGCCTGCTCCTCCTCGGCCGCCAGCTGGACGGGCGCTGCCTCCGCCGACGGCCCGCCGGCCGTCCCCACAAAGACGAAGTCGATAACCATATTCGCGCCTGCGCGGGTGGTGACCGCGCCAGTGGAACGGGAGCACTCGCGGAGCTCGCCCCCGTCGCAGCCGCCGCAGCGCAGGCGCAGCGGGCCGTCCTCCGGTGAGCTCCTGCTTGTCGCCGCCGCCACCACGGGCCAGGGGCAGCTGACCCCTGGCGGTGCTTCCGCCGTGCGAGGCGCCAGGCCGCGCCGAGCAGAGCACGGTTGTGGGGCAGCCGCCAGAGGCGGCGGCGACAAACGGGCTCACGATCCTCCCCCTCGCGGATGGCCAGCGGCGGGTCTGGCGCCCCGACGCCGGCGGCCTGGCCAGCGGGGCGCTTCAGCCGCGGCCGCACGCGCTCGACGGCCGGAGACTGCCAGAAGGCGCCCCCGCTGCCGTGCAGGAACTCCTCCGGCAGGGCGTTGAAGTCCCCGCCCAGCACGAGCGCGAGGCCGTGCCCGGCGGCCGCAAGGGTGCTCGCCGGGTGCTGATGCAGGTGTCCCCTGCCCCGGGCTGCCCCGAGGAGTTCTGGGGAGGCCCCGATGGGAAGGAGCCCAGGGACACACACACACACACACACACTCACACACACACACACACACACACACACACACACACACACAAATGTCACAAATAGACACACACACACACACATCCCAGGATCCCCTATCTTTCTCCATAGCTTCTGGATGATCGCCTTCCCCCCCACTTCCCGTATGTTCCCCCAGTTCCCGGGGGATCGACGATTACTTGTGTCTGTGTGTGTTTCCCTCAGAGGGCCTCCACAAGACCCCCTTGCCAGGCCCACGGGGCCCAAAATGGCCTCAGCATGGCGCGAGGCGCTGGGAGACCCCTGGGCCAGGACAACCTCTGGCAGCGCCCGAGCTCGCGGTCTCGGAGAGGTGGGCCAGCGTGGCGCGCAGCTGCCCGGCGCGCAGCTGAACCTTTAGGGGAACGAAGCAATGACATAAACATTATAAAACGGGGGTCCGCGCCGATCCGAGACATCCGCACGGTCCTCCTACAGTCGGGGCGTTGACCTAAGGAACCCTAAATAAGGAACGAGGCCCCTTTTTCCATAAGTTAACCATCGATTTCCTGTCGAAAACATAAGGGAAGCCTGAGGCAAGCTGTGAAACACTTAAGGAACGCGGAGCCCCTCCCCAACGAAAAGGGTTCCTTCTTCAGGGCCCCGACTGTAGTCTTTATGTTTATGTCCTTGCTCGTGCCCCGAACCTTCGCGCTGTCGCTCGGCGGGGCGCTCTCCAGGTGCACGGCGGCCACCAGCACGAGGGCGGCGTCCCCCCTGCGGCGCAGCAGGACGACGCAGGAGGACTTGGGGCAGACCCCGTGCTGCTCCTGGATCGTCTGCGCGACCTTGACCCCGCCTATACGAGACCTATGTTGCATCACAGCAGCAATTCGGCCCCTGGCTTTCGTCCTGGGCTCGGTTTAGTGAAGTGATGCATTTCGGGGTCCTTACGTGGGAAAAAACATCACTTCACTAATCTGGGGCCCCTGGGGCCTCAGTGGGCGCTGAGGCCCAAAATTAGTGACGTGATGGTTTTCGGGTCTCGGAGCCTAACTCCTCCACGCGCTCGAACTGGTCGGAGTCGAACATGACCGACGCCGTGCCCCTTCCCGACACCGCCGCGTAGCGCCTGCTGGCGGGCAGCCCGTGCCGGCGCCACTGCTCGTCGAACTCCACCAGCGTCGCCACGTCTGGGCTCAGCTGCCCGACCCGCTGGCACACCCTGGCGTGCCTGGACGCCAGCACCGCCTCCGAGAACCAGGCCTCGACCGCACGCAGCACCTCCGGCAGCAGCGCGTCCGCCCGCGCCTCCGCCGACCCCGGCGCCTCGCCGAGGCCGGCGAAGGCGGCGACGGCGGGGCCCGCCTGCGCATTGTCGGCCGAGTGCTGGCACATCTGCACGAGCAGCCACCGCACCGACGCCTGCAGAGTGAAGGTCCTCACCCGCTGGAGGTCGCCGCTGTCGCCGAGCGACACGGCGATCAGCGACGTCATGTCGGTGTCGTCGCGGTCGCCGTCTCTGGCCACGTGCATCAGCCTCGAGAGGGCCTCTGCCACCTCCGGCTCAAGCGCCGGCGGCGGAGACATCATCGCGGACAGGTCTGGAATCCACTTGTCCCTCCAGACGTTCTTGTCTCGCTTCCACACGCCGTCCAACGATGCCCTGTCCCAGCTCAGCACCCCCCGAGAAGGCTCGAAAACCTGACCCCTCAAGCGCCTGACGCGGTCAGCCACGGCGGTGGGGGCGGAGATCTTCTTGAGCTCCTCATCGAACCGAGGAGTGTGCCATTCCGTCGGCGAGGTGCTCCCAGCCGGCTCTGTCGGCGCACTGTGCAGGAACAGTGTGCGGAGGCTGTTGCCGAGGTTGGGGGCATCGCCGGGTGCGCTGTCGCCGAACCTCGCCTCCCCGCCCAACGAGTGGTACAAAGCACAGTACACCACGTCGATGAAGCTGAAGAACGCGCTTGTGGAGTCGATCGGGCCGACCGGGGGTAGCTGTGAGAAGTCCCGCGCCTTACCGAAGCCCAAGAAGTCGCTGCCGCTGCCGCTCCGGCACAGGTGGCCGAGAACGGTGGAGAACCTGCGGTCAAACTCGGAAGAGAATCCGAGACTGCCAGGCGCATCCGTGAGGCCGTCCTCGAACACGTTCCACTGCAGGACGCGCATCGGGACAAACGGCACGGCCCCCGAGACCCGTGGGCGCTTCGAGAGCGGGTGGCTCAGGAGTGCCGCGGCGCCGGCGGCTACGGTGCAAGCACGGCGGCCATGGCTACGCATGTCCTCGCTGGCTCCGCACGAGCCAGAAGGCTACGGATCTCGACTTGCGCGCACACGATCTCGAGGAAAATGCACACTTTGTCCCGACCGTGTGCTCTACAATACATCGAGGCATGCTCAGTGATGCTCGGAGACTGGGAACTCATGCTCTGAATACGGGAGCGCTCTAACCTGCGACAAAGGCCAGTGGGAGTAGGACGCAACTTCGATTCATCCAAAACTGGCCTCGGGACCCATCCCAATCACCTTCCTGACGAGTTTTGACGGATCGCGTCCAGCAGCGGCGAAAAAGCCCCCCTCCCAAGAGGGCATCAGAGAGCAACACAACGTGGCGCGCAGTTGAACAGGACGGCATACACTTCGCGCCTCGGTTGCTTGGCCTGCCCCTGCAAAGGGGGGCCCGTCGCGCCACCGTGAGGACCTCTCGCCCAAGTCAGACGAGTGCAAGGCCGGAGGCAGAAGCAGAGGAGCAAGAAGCCACCTAAGCATCATCGTCCAGAGCTCCGCGCGCGGATGTCTTGGGTCGGCACTGGCCCCAGCCACCACACCGTGGGGGGGGAAGGGGGGGAGCAGCTTCGCCGGAGGCGGCGCCAGGGGAGTGGGGAGGGTGGCTTCCGCGCCGACCCGGGAAGCCCGCGCGGACCTCCGAGAGCTTGTCCTCCTCCTCCTCCTCCTCCTCCTCCTCCTCCTCCTCCTCTCCCCCTCCTCCTCCTCCTCCCCCTCCTCCTCCTCCTCCTCCCCCTCCTCCTCCTCCTCCTCCTCCTCCTCCCCCTCCTCCTCCTCCTCCTCCTCCGTGCCGCTGGCTCGGCCCTCGGGGGGGAGGGGAGACCGCGCCGCGCCTCGCCTCCGCGTGGCCGACACGAGGCAGGACCGCCCCGCTCCTCGGGACGTCCCGGTGCTCGGCCGCGCCGCCCTCGCGGGGGCCTCGGTCGCGCCGCGGGCGGAGGAGGAGTAGGAGGAGGCGGAGGAGGAGGAGGCGGAGGAGGAGGAGGCGGAGGAGGAGGAGGAGGAGGAGGAGGAGGAGGAGAAGCAGCCTCCCCCCGCCCCCAGCTTCCTGGGGTTTGGGGGAAGGCCGAGGCCGCGGGCGCAGGCGCCGAGGTCGCGGCGCGCGAGCGCCTGGCGCCACAGGGGAGCCGACCGCGGCGTCGTCGTCGAGGCGGCCCCGCGGCGGCGGCGGGCGCGAGGCGGCGGCGCGCGAGGGGAGCGCGCGGCAGGGCGGAGGACATCGCGACGCCAGGGCACTGAGGCGGCTCGCGGCCGCAGGCGCGAGGGAGGATGAGAGAGAGAGAGAGAGAGAACAAAAACAAAGAAAGAGAAGGAGGGCCAAAACAACGAGAGAGAGAGAGATAATACATATATATATATATAAGAGAGAAAAAGAGAAAGAGAGAGAGAGAGGCAACAAAGAGAGAAATAGAGAGAGAGAGAGAGAGAGAAAAAATAAAACATAAAACAACAAACAAACCAATAAGAACGTTATGGCAGGGGACTGGGGTGATGGTCGCGGCGGAGGACGGCAACGAGGTCGCCACGGGTGGGAGCAGGAAGAGGAAATGGTGGTGGTGATGCTGATGCCGATGCCGATGCCGATGCCGATGCCGATGCCGATGCCGATGCCGATGCCGATGTTGATGCTGATGCTGATGCCGATGCTGATGCTGATGCCGATGCCGATGTTGATGCTGATGCTGATGCTGATGCTGATGCTGATGCTGATGCTGATGCTGATGTCGATGCTGATGCTGATGCTGATGCTGATGCTGATGCTGATGCTGATGCTGATGCTGATGCTGATGCTGCTGATGATGGTTCAATAATGGTGGTGCTGATGATGGCGGGAGGGATGACAGGAGGAGGACGACGACGACCCCGACGACGAAGAGCAAAAGAAGAGGCAGGTGGAGGAGCCGCGGCACGAGGAGGAGCAGGTCTGCCACCCTCGGCCCCTTTGTTTTGCCCAGCCGGGGCTCCTCTGGTCAGGCCGAAGGCGCAGTACCCCTCCGAATGGTTTCATTATCAAGACACTCGGGCCGCGCGTGCCCCCCCCCCAAAAAAAAGCCCGCTCCAGCATCCTGACGACGACAGAGGTGAGCGTGGACACTTCTGCCAGCGCCACCATCCATGCGCAGCAGGAGTCGAGCCCACCAGTTCCTGAAATGCTCCTACGAGGAGTGCACTGGTGAGTTGTCGTCAGCTGCCTCCAGGAAGAGGATCGAACGCAGCTCTTGGTAGGCGGCAGGCGGCCCAAGTTGATGGCAGCGTGGGGCTGGTGTTGCTCCTCCTCCAGGGGCTGAGTCGAGATGTCCACGGCCGCCCGCCACTTTCGCATCCAACGTGCTGATCTTGCCAGGCTTAGCCATCTACTCTCGCACTGTTCTCAGCAAGCGCCCTATTAGCCCGTTCCGCGAACCAAGCTGAGGCCGGCATTACATGAAAGCACAGCGAGTGGCAAACGATGATAACGGAGGGGACAGGCAACTCAACAGCAGTCGTTGGCGCGTACATGCGTGGGGTTCCACACGCCACAGTCTCGAGCCCCAACCCCAGGAATGCCCAGGCAATGGTTTGAGTGAACGTTGCTACGGGCTCAGGCTACGGTGGGGGGAGGAAGAGGAGCTGAGCGCACTCATGACTCTCAACCAAGTCTCACCAGAAGCTGCACCTGCTTAGGCTCGAAAGAGGTCGAGTCAGCGTTGTACCGCGTGTCAATGTAAAAACGCTCGACGCTGGAACTCATGGATGGCCCGGAGCGCTTGCACCAAGCATCGACGACCTGAGGAGAAGTGAAAGCATCCACCAACATCAAAAAGAGGCCTGCACAAGGCCGATGGTGAGCACTGATCTTGTGCGGCCCCTCCTGGCCTGCACGGGAGCCGAGGTCCACCAAGACCAGGGTCCAGATTGGGCGTGAAATCACCTTATTGGACCCCACGAAATGTTTACAGCGCCTGTGGAACCGATACCCGAGAACACATGGTGCCCGAAGTTGAAAGCGACTGCTGTTCCGCAAATAATGCCCGATATCCAAGTGGCAGCGTTCGCCGCGAAATCGACAGCGAAACGGGTCAACATGAAGAGCGGGTGATGCAGGAGGCGACTCTGACCCAAACGGCTCCCAGATTTTGAGGGGGGACCAGATGGCCTTGCGTATCTTTCGCAATAGCCCCTGTGGTCCCGACCCAGCAGAGCCATCCGTGGGGCTACCGAGGTCCGAACTGGTTCCACGAAGGGCGACATCCTGGGAGAGCCACCCCTCCTCCGCCGCCCTGCTACCCCTGCAACACCTCCCTCCGCATCCTCCTCCCTCCTACCTCTCCTTCTCCTCCTCCTCCTCCTCCTCCTCCTCCTCCTCCGCCTCCTCCTCCTCCACCTCCGTCTCCTCCTCCTCCTCCTGCTTCCTCCTCCTCCTCCTCCTCCTCCTGCTCCTCGTCTTCCTCCGCGTTTTCCTCCTCCTCCTCCTCCTTCACATCCTCCTCCTCCTCATCATCCTCCTCCTCGTCCTCCTTATCAGCACCATCATGATGATCATCATCATCATCATCATCATCATCATCATCATCAGCATCATCAGCATCATCAGCATCAGCATCATCATCATAATCATCATCACTACTAGTACTACTACGACTACGACTACGACTACGACTACGACTACGACTACGACTACGACTACGACTACTACTACTACTACTACTACTACTACTACTACTACTACTACTACTACTACGACTACGACTACGACTACGCCTATTGCTACTACTACTACTACTACTACTACTACTACTACTACTACTACTACTACTA